CTCTTACGCCACCATCAGACTTGCGACGTCGCAACCGCGACGTTGTACACGTACAGAGGCTCAAGCAATACCACGGTTCAACGCCGCCTGCACAGGACTAAGTCGCCAGGATGGCTCCTTTTTTTCTCCGTGGGGCCATTGTAAAGAAGAGGAAGTACTGCGGCGCAGAGGCAGCAGCATCGAGTGTGCAGCAGCGGCTCGAGCTCGGAAATTGCGGCTGGTGCATCGCCTTCCAAGCCTTCCAAGCACCAACCTTTCTGCTTAATAAATCTCCTTTATAAATAAAATAAAAATGCGCCATTCAGAATTTGAAACGTCGGACTCATGTTCCAAGCGGAAAAAAATGAGTTACCACTGTTCAGAAAAAAGTTAACCCGGATTAAGCAAGGCTAGTATAATGCTGACTAATTGCTATTGCCTTATTGTGGCCATACGCATCAAAATAGCTTGGTAACCAACCTACTGACATGAGACTTGCTCAAAATTAGCTTGTCTTGGGTTAGCTTAATGTGAGTTAATCTGGATGGGTTTAACGTGATCATCATCCGGCTTCTGAACGGTTAGACATCTCTCCTCACTCGAGCCTCACTTTTTCGCGGTTAACTTTATGCACATTAGGTTTATCCAGCTTAATCCACCTAGATTTAATACGGCCATACACTGTCATTAAACTGGCTAGACACTCTAAACATACTCAAATAGGTTAGTTCAAGATTCAAATTACCTTAATTCAGCCTAAACTAATAATTCAGATCAGGTGAATTTTACCATACGCAGTCACCCAGATGGCTATAGTCATTCCCATTTCGCTCAACAATGATTTGCTTATAATGAACTTAAGCCAAATTTACTTAGTCGTGTCTAATCCGAAAGACTATATTCGAGTTGGGCAATATCCTCTAAACTTAGAACGGATTAGGTTGATTCGACATAAGCTCCACTAATTTTGCCTAACCCCGCTTGATAGGTAGTAGTATAGAGCGGTATCGACTAGCGTTAAACTGGCTTGTCCAAGCACAATTAGGCCGTGATATATTGGCTTAACTAGGCTTTTTCTAGGCATACCTTTGTCGATACCGGTGGATTAATTGGTATCAATGAGTGTAAATTAGCATTGATTTCTATCAATTACCATTATTTGATTAACATGTCTTGATCTAGATTATCTAAGCTTATCGGCAAGATAGAATCGCTTTTCACGGCTGAACTCGAAGCATAACCTCCTCTTTGTAAAAGCAGCTATAGCGAGACAAGCAAAAATTTCATTAGCAGCTTGCTCCCTGCCACATATTGAAATGTACATGGCCACAAGCTGGTCAAGTTAACAATTAACCTCGTATAACTTGGTGCTGTCGTCGGATGCCAGCGGTGGCGTTTCACTTTCGCTTCCTTTTTTTTTCGCCAGCTGTATCTAGCGAAGCGAAGCATCTGATCGCTTTTTGCGTGTTAACTAGTACACAGTGGCAGGCACCAGCTTGTCAAGCGGTCAAAGAACGGATCTCAATACGTTCAGAAGAGCGTGTTTACAGCACCGCGCTCACGCTCGCCGCGGTGCAGTGCCCTGCACTCGAACCAATATGGCGGCCAGGCAGCACGGAGTCTTCAAAAGGTGTCACCAGCCAGGGATCGGTGGCGCGCAGACATCGAGGCACCCTAAAGCCTTGGGTACACCACATAATGAGTATTGTTGGAATCACTGGTAAGGCAACCGGAGCATACGGAGCAGCGACCTTGAGCGGTAAACGCAGAAGAGTACACTAGCAACAATGGTGCACACGGTCGCAGCCGCCCGCAGAGAAGGTACGAGCAAAAAAAGCCTCCTGACCAAGATCCTAAAAGGGACACAATGAAACGACAATAATACAAACTCTTTCCCGAAGACGATAATTCACCCACAAAGGTAAGTTAGCAGTATCTCGCTACTTAGCCAAGAGCATTTGTGTAGCTGATCTTTCTCACAAATTAAGTCGCCCTTCGATTACACAAGCGATTATTATGTTTAGGAAAATGAACCGTTGGCAATTCATATTTGTTCAAACGGTTCAGTCTCTTGCACAGGACCATATTGTTTCAGTGTTTTCAATGATTTGGTTTCATTCAATCCCAATAGAGATGCTCAACAAAGAAGTTGTTTTCTGTACATTTCAGACATGTGGGTGCATTGTCTAGTTGCTTAGTTTCTCTGTGTTCATTGCGTTTCATCGCAGAAACTGAGCTCTCCTTGAATTTAATAAAGTAGCGAGTTTTCTCCTAGGGGGGGGGGCGCTCTATGGTATTGTTTTGGTATTTTATTTAAATCCCAGTTTTACCATGACATGATTGTTGACAGCCCTCGGCGATAGATTCGAAGGTCGCAATGTTCAAAGTCATGCGCGGTGGTCATAATTCAATGGAGGCGAAAGGCTACAGATCGTCGTATTGTGCTACGTCATTGTACGTTTAGGAACACCCTATTGTCAAGACAGATGCTAGGGTTTGTTGGCGATTGGGAATCAACATATTTGCACAGCGAAGGAGTACGAGGAGTTATGACAAAACTACAGAATAAGACACAAGGACAAAAAATAGCGCTGAACTACTCGTAGTCTTGTCTTGAACTACTCGTAGTCCACGTCATAACTACTCGTAGTCAAAGTCATAACTACTCGTAGTCTTGTGCTATGCAAATATGTTGATTACCATACTATCGAAATTTGCGAAGCCCTCCACTACGGCATTCATCATTCATACTGGGGTCTTGGGGCAAAAAACCGCACGTATTATGTAGCTCTCACTTCTTATTTCTTTTTTGATGTCTAATGGCACGGCAAGCTACGTTGGTCGCAGAAGCTCCACATTGTAATATGCATTTTGCATTTCGTAACTACTTCTCGTGCAATTATATTTTATTCCTTAGCAAATACAAGATTAGCGTTTGCTTTTGAGTGAAGGTGAGCATGTATTATAAGGTAGTGAGGATGGCTTGAGCATAGGATCTTTTTAGCCTTTAAGAGGAATCGGGCAATAGTATTGGGTAGGCTGCGCACAAGTCCAGTGAAGAACTCTTATTCCACACCTCGCATAAACAGCCGAACGTTTTTGTCTACGGTCATAGCGGCGTTCATCTGGCGAAACAGTGGCATGATTGCTTCCGCAAAAATGGTGACATCTTCGTTTGTTAGATGCTCTCGGGCCTGTAGCAAAGCAGTGGCCCTTTCTTTGCGGCCGACGCTCTTGAACATATCCCGGAATGCGCCACGGAAAAGATCCAAGTTTGGAAGTGCATAATTTCGTTTCTTGAACCACGTCTTTTCCGGGTCTTTCAGGTCGAAGTAGACGCGACGCTGATTTTCTTCCGAGTCTCAGTATTTCGATGATCTGCGCAAGGTCTATGGCTGCCTCGTCTGTTGCATAACGACCGTGGTGGGCGTTCATTGTCAATTGCGTTATTATAGTTTTCAGCAGTGGTCATGGTCTTGAGAGTGAAAGTCATCGGGCACAGCACCGTACCCCGTGTGTATGCCTCGTTGCCTGCGGCTAGCTCGATTATCATGGTTGGCGTTGTCGCCACGGTGTGAAATTCCCCGGTGTGGAATCGCTTACGGCTGGAGGTGGGCGTTCGGTACATGGGTGTGGAACCACCTCCACCAGATGTCATGGAACCATGACGTGAACGGAAATATCAGACAGTAGGTCCAGGATGAGCGGCGAACAGAGCGTGTATCGTCGAAGCACTGACAAGCGCGAAGCGCGTCGGCAGTTACACGCGGGCCGTCAACACTTCCAGTGCTATTTCTAGTACCCACGTTAGTTCTAGCAGAAACTGCTAACAGTGTGTACAGGATTTACATAACAAACTCGAGAAATAATGGTGCAATATACATTATTATATTGCGTTTTACATAATAATAATAAACATAAAATAGTTACGAATACTTGCTGATTCCAACAAATTTACCACGTCCCACGAGCCCTACCACAAGCCCTGTTGAAATGGGGAGCATTGTTACGAACTTTTGTGAATTTATTTTTAATTACTTCACCAACACCTTCTCTTCTGAGCATCGGGTTGACATTTTTAAAAATGGCACATTGTACTGCGCTTTATCTGCGTTTCGCCCACAGGAACTGTAACAACCGCTCAGCACAAGCTAGGCCACGACGTTTGCGAAACTTATCGATTATTTGGAGGTGTACAGATAAGGTTAAACTTCTCGATTATTTGAAGGTATACCGAAAAAATTGACATCTCAAGATTTGCGTCTCGACACGCCAATACGATAAATACAGACGCCATAATGAAGTTTCCCGGAAAAGTTTACCTGGTGGTCTTTAACGTGCCCTTATATCGCACAGTGCACAGAAGACAGGCATTTGGCCTCCATTAGAATGCGCCCGCCAAAGCCAGGATCAAACTCGCGACCATCCCGTAAGTAGTCGAGAACCGTAGCCACTGTTCAACCGAGGGAGACAATTCAGATAAAACTACGCGCATGACGGCAGTGTTCTAGCTCACCCTAGCGTGAACGCGGGGGCAAGGAAATGTGCGGTCAATCGTGTGCACAAGAAGACGCGTTCCTGCGACATTCTGATCACCGACCAACGACGACAACTGTGATCGTTGCATTTTGTGTACTGCGTGAATTGCTTGGCACTTTCAATTACTTCGTCTTCTAGGCTCAAGTCCGTCCGATATAGATTCTCTTCCCTACGAGAGGGACAGCTCCCTTCTTCACTGTCCCTACCACGTGTCAGTGTAAATTGAAAGTCCACTACCCTTCAATGAAGAAGCAGGACCGCTAAAAAGACGCCAGGAACAACTTCATATTTGTGTCAGTAAGGATGATTCTCATATCAAACCTCATTGGAGAACACAGCATCTTGATGGTACCGCAGAAAAGCCGCCATTTCTACTTACCTTAGTAATAATATATCCACACTGCAATGACTGAGAAGTGGTTGCTAAAGTAAAAACGTTTGCGGAGTATTTTACCGGTATAAAAATAAACATCCCAGCTCACCTGACTTGATCCGCTTGCCATGCCAGGTGAATTTCCCGCTCCGGCATGTAGGCATCGGCGGAAGGCTGCAGGAAACAAAATAAGCACTGAGAAGCAAAGTCCTTAAAAACAAATTTTATCTAGATAGTCGTCCTACAGGCGACCTCACAAACAAAGCATACGATATTCGCATCTTCAATGTCCCATAAACCCTAATGGGATCTCTCAAGCTTTCCAGTGTCACTGACGGAAAAGCCGAGTAAAATTTCATGATAACCGTAGGGTTTTTGGTCACAATATCACGGTATGATTTTGGGAGACGCCGTCGTAGAGAGCTCCAGAAGTTTTGACTATCTATTGTTCGTTAACCTAAAATCATATCACACAGTACACGCGCCACTACCATTTTACAACCACCAAAATCGGACCGCTTCAACCATGATTTAACCAGCCACCTTCGAGTCAGAGCCTCACACCAGCCGAGCTCCGTAGCTACCGTGGCGGACAGAGCAAAAGTTCAAGAGTTTAGGAATAAATGTTCTGTACAGCACATTGCATAGCCTGAACTCTCACTATTTTCGCACATTTATTTCAACGAACAGGCACATTGTCTCCTCTTATGAAGCGGGCATGCGCACTTGGGCATTCTCCTCCACGGATCCTTGGATAGCGCTAATGGTACCACGGCTAACGTACATCATGTGCCTGCCATTGTTTAATGAGGCAAGCTTCAGGGCAGAGAATATTTTATCTGAACATGGAAACTTAGGTCGAACTGTTTTATGTGGAAGGATTGAGAATTTCGTTAGTCGAAGTTGGTGAATTGAAGGCGTTGGTGAGGCTCTTGCCTATGCTTACAGAAATAGTGATTTGCTAGAATCGCGTGTGTTACATCGGATGAAATTCCCCTTGGTTGAACCCTAATTGAAAATCCAATGTTTTTACAAGGCTCCACGCAAACGGAACTACACTGCAAGTCGAGACCTCCGTAGTAACAATTGCACGCCTGACATGAACCTTTCGCCCGCTCACCCCACAACCTCACGGCGGCAGCACCCATCATTCTCGCGAGCTGTTCGTTTTGTGTCTACCAGCGTCACATGAATTACACTTAAATGGTAAATGAAATAGCACTGAAATGCTCTCGAAAAACTTCAAACTACAAAACGTGTCAGTGCTTTCTGCTTGAACTGAAAACGGAGAATGAGCCCGCTTATGCATTCGCAATTTGTTAATCTTGTACTTCACATCCTCGAAATCAACCGAATACTGCTACAGCTTCTTCAATGACTGCATAAAATTCTAAAGAACTGCTTCGGCGAATTGTACGTTTCTCATAATGCCGGACTCCCGGCTTCGTCTGCTATGGCCATTCAAACTAAGATTCAAACTAATTGGTATATACATTCAAACTAATTGGTATATATTCAAACTACGAGGACCGACCGCGCTGCTTTTGTAAAACGTAACGAGTCAATCTCTGTCGAATGGGCACTGGTGGGCCCTAACGCATTCTCGAGGCCAACAAACGTATTTTCACTGCAAGAAACGCCCTGCAGCTGTGCAACTACGTTCAGTATTTGCACCTTTAAGTGGGCCGTCGTTGACATGACAAGCATGTAGAAGTTTGCAATCCTGTTTGGCACACGTAGTCCCACGAAACACAGCGCAAACGGATTCCCACTGTTATGGAAAGCAACAAAAATTCTTACAGCTGCATGAACCCGCCAACTTTCTGTTACGATTGCAGGCAAACGCAAGTGTCACATGCACGGGCGTGCCTCATTCAAATTATTAGCAAGGTAAAATTTCCTATCAGAAAAATTCTCTCTGCAGCACGATCTTGATATTTATTCTGCGAGATTTGTACGATTTTTAAACATGCACAATCGATTGTCATCGTGGCACACAAGGGTGAATTTTGAATTATTGACTCAGTTATGTTTTTTATAGACAAACGCCATAGAAAAATGTTATCCCGACTGGGCTCGATCACGATAGTAAGTGCATTGTCTACCAGGTAGTCGTGTTACTTTGCACCCTTGAATGGGCATGCTGCGAAGTCTCGCTTACCTCAATCTAAATGGAAAATTCTTGTTTAAGAGAAAATAACAATGCCCTGTTTCTACAGCTTCATTGATACGCTCTACGATAATTCACGGCAGCTTTTAATAAGTGAGTTAGTTACGGAAGCTGAACACGTTTTCTCCTGCAGCGAAAAACAAAGAGCAAGAAATTGTGACTATAAGACCCATTCTAAAGAAGTAATCCTAAAGCTGGAGAACCCGTAAGCTGAAGTCGACTATGGCGGACGGAAACCAGCCTGGTCGGGAACACAAGTTAGGACAATTAACATGAACACCCAAGGGAGGAGGCGGTGCATACTGTGGTAAAATTTGCTTTGGCGAGAGAAGTAACCTTTAGCAAAAAACTCAAGTGGCACAAGAACGCTGTAAGGAAGAAGGTTTCATCGATCAAACACGCTGGCCAAAATACAGAGGCAAAAGACCACGTAATAGACTGGCATAGGGTAAGATAGCGGAAACAGAAAAGAAATGGCTTCTCGGTTTTATCTTCAATCTTTCAACAGCCCACATTCCTAAATGTAATTGCGGTAACTTACCCCGGATGTATGCATGTACATCGAAACTTAAGATATGCATACATAACCACACTGTCCACACTCATGTTTTTTGTGAACGAGGCCCCCCGTGTTAAAAGTGAAACGCTCAGATTTGATGTGAGACTTCCTCGTCGATGTTCATTCTAAGCCAATGGGCATAAAATAACAAGCAGAACAAAGAGAGATGTGGCATTACGTGCGTAGCGTACGTAGCGCTATATATCCTGTGGCACGCAGCCGATAACAAGTACTGCACTTTTCTGGGTTGTGTAGACTAAAAGCTCGTACGCAAAAATTGACAGCAAAACAACGCTGTTCGAAAAAAAAATAAACACTGCACAGACAAGAATAAAAAAACTCATGCGATTGTCCGCTTCCCTTCGACAGAGCGAAGCAAGGCAACGTGATTCAATCTTGCACGTTACAGATTTTGCAGCGCTCGCGCCTCTTGTGGTGGGCCTGGCGCCCAATATGTTGCCACGAGCATAACAGCTTCTATTAGGTATTGTAGTTGCAGGTAGAATTGTATGTGCCACCATGGGAAAAGACGGCGAAGATTGATTGATTGATTGATTGATTGATATGTCGGGTTTAACGTCCCGAAACCACCATATGGTTATGAGAGACGCCGTATTGGAGGGCTCCGGAAATTTCGACCACCTGGGGTTCTTTATCATTATCATCAGCCTGACTACGTACACTGCAGGACAAAGGCCTCTCCCATGTTCTGCCAGTTAACCCGGTCCTGTAGTTGCTGCTGCCAATTTACACCAGCGAACCTCCTAATCTCATCTGCCCACCTAACTTTCTGTCTCCCGCTAACCCGCTTCCCTTCGCTGGCAATCCAGTTAGTTACCCTTAATGACCAGCGGTTATCCTGTCTACGCGCTACATGCCCGGCCCATGTCCATTTCCTCTTGTTTATTTCAACTATGATATCCTTAACCCCCGTTTGTCCCCTAATCCACTCTGCAATTTTCTTGTCTCTTAAGGTTACACCTACCATTTTTCTTTCCATTGCTCGCTGCGTCGTCCTCAATTTAAGCTGAACCCTCTTTGTAAGTCTCCAGGTTTCTGCTGCGTAGCTAAGTACCGGCAAGATACAGGTGTTATATACCTTTCTCTTGAGGAATAGTGCCAATCTACCTGTCATAGTTTGAAAGTGCTTGCCGAATGTGCTCCACCCCATTCTTATTCTTCTAGTTACTTCAATCTCGTGGTTCGGCTCAGCGGTTATTACCTGTCCTAAGTAGATATAGTCTTTTACAACTTCAAGTGCACTATTACCTATCTCGAAGCGCTGCTACTTTCCGAGGTTGTTGTACATTACTTTCGTTTTCTACAGATTAATTTTAAGACCCACCTTTCTGCTCTCCTTGTCTAACTCCGTAATCATGAGTTGCAATTCATCCCCTGAGTTACTCAGCAATGCAATGTCATCGGCGAAGCGCAGGTTACTAAGGTATTCTCCATTGACTCTTATCCCTAATTGTTCCCATTCTAGGCTTCTGAAAACCTCCTGTAAGCACGCGGTAAATAGCATTGGGGAGATTGTGTCCCCCTGCCTTATACCCTTCTTGATTGGTATTCTGTTGCTTTTTTTATGAAGCACTATGGTAGCAGTTGATCCCCTATAGATTTCTTCCAGAATGTTAATATATACTTCATCTACGCCCTGATTCCGCAGTGTCTGCATGACGGCTGATATTTCTACTGAATCAAACGCCTTCTCGTAATGTATGAAGGCTATGTATAGTGGTTGGTTATACTCTGCGCATTTCTCTATTACTTGATTGATGGTATGAATGTGGTCAATTGTTGAGTAGCCTGTTTGATATCCTCCTTGTTCCTTTGGTTGATTGAAAGCTAATGTTTACTTTACTCTGTTAGCAATTACCTTTGTAAATAGCTATTATACTACAGAGAGCAAGCTGATCGGCCTTTAATTCTTCAAGTCCTTGTCATCTCCTTTCTTATGTATTAAGATGATGTTAGCGTTCTTCCAAGACTCTGGTACCCTTCCCGTCAGGAGACACCTCGTAAACGGGGTGGCTAGTTTTTCTAACACAATCTGTCCTCCATCTTTCAGCAGATCTGATGTTACCTGATCCTCACCAGCAGCTTTGCCTCTTTGCATGCTCTCCAAAGCTTTTCTGACTTCTATCATTACTGGTGGGTGTCATCTGGGTTACTGCTAGTTCTTATAGTATTAAGGTTGTGGTTGCCGCGGCTACTGTACAGATCTCTGTAAAACTTCTCCGCTATTTTAACTATCCTATCCATATTGGTAGTTACTTTGCCTTCTTTGTCCCTCAGTGCATACATCCGACTTTTGCCTATCCCAAGTTTCCTCTTCACTGCTTTGACGCTTCCTTCGTTTTTCACAGCATGTTCAATTTTCTCCATATTATACCTTCATACATCGCATACTTTAAGTCTATTAATCAACTTCGAAAGCTCTGC